TTGCAGGCCGATCTGCTTCTCATATAAGGGCATAAACAACATGTGTTTGTCTGAGTTCATACCAAAGGAAACAGACTGCTGATCTCAATGTCCTCAAATGATGCACAGACACATTTTAAGCACTTGTTTGTCCTATTATATTCTGAAGTCCAAAATAGACCTTTTAAACAGTATCTCCAATTTCAGGACACCTATACAGTAAACAAGTGATCAGGGAATGAGAAACACTTATATTAATAGCAACAGCACACTGTTCATAAGTAGAGGTGTCAATTATTACTAAGCAAAATGGACAGATTACCAAAAATACCACAACAAACATAAAGACAACAAACCTAGTTTTATTTTTTGCTCAAAACCCAAAGAAAATCCAACTTATTCCGTACATTTTATCCCCATTCACTTCTTGCTGCATTTTTATTGGAATGAATATTTTTAAGGACCTCTCCACACTAAGAATACCTTCTGCCTCCAAGCATCCCATTGTAGTGGGATCACTACATCCCATCTAGCTTTTTTGGAAAGCATCCCATTCACATGGACAGCCATGTGTATGTAGTGCCAAACCTGTAAGCTTGCAAAGTGTCTGTAATTCTGTGTCAACTCACCAATATATAGAAACTGGAGCACCTTGAAAAAGAACCCAGAGTGACAGATGCCTTTGGAATGGCTGCATTTAAACATTTCAGGTGACCAAGGTCTCATCCTTTACACATACAGAACTTTTTCCTTCTCTTCAGCATTGATAAATAATGATAATCTCAAACCAAAGAGTATCAAAAAAACCTCAGATTTTAAAATTTGTGATGACCTACAATTAGGTAATTTAAACACCCAGCCCTGTGAACAAACTAACTGCTCACCTTTATTCTATTTATAATTGAATAGCTTTACAATTTAAATAATACTTTTCTCCCTCAACCACTTCACTGCTTACCACCAAATCTTTGTATTAGGTACTGGAACAGACAGGAAAGATAACCTGTTGGCATTGACTCCAGATGTTCAGGGGTCTAGTAAAGCATTAGCCAGAAATCAGGATAACTACATGACATAGACCCAGTGCTTGGAAGAACCCTGACCTCACTTTATTTTTCTGGACTCTCCATATATTTTTATGTACTCTCCAAAGACAAGGGTAGGCTCACCTTCCTACTATCTATTGCATGCACTGGTGACTCAATGCATGCATTATCCCAAACTGCCTTCCATTCAGATGTAACTCCTATGAATCCCTGGCACCAAGGAACATTCAAGCCAGACACAGAGACACAATAGGCTGTGGTGGAAGGACTCACAAAGATTATTAAGCCCAGCTCTTAGGCTCCCAGCAGCATGAGACAGTTTAACCAAGGAAGCAGAGACACTGGTGTAAGGGAAACTGCTCATTTTGCAGCACACAGGGAGATGAAGGCAGGAGTTTTCAGATGAGCACAGTTCTCTGTCTCAGAGAGCAAGCATTCACAGAGGCACATACAAAAGAAAAATAATGCAATGGTGAAGCCACACACAATTGTTATATTTACATGCATAAACAAACACACTGCACAGCTTCTGAATAGGTGAGAATCCCTGGCACCAAGGAACATTCAAGCCAGACATAGAGACACAATAGGCTGAGCTGGAAGGACTCACAAAGATTATCAAGCCCAGCTCTTAGATGAGTGGCTAGTATGAGGGCTGAATCCCCAACCCTGGTGCTATTAGCACCATGCCCTAACCAACACAATCAATAAAACACCAGAACGGTGATGACAGCAACAGCAAAAACATTAGACACATGCAAATCTTCAGCATGCCACTAAAAAAGACAGGGATCACTCCTCCACTGGGGTGCCTGGCAGAGCCTGCTGAAATCAGTAGGCCTGCACTGACAAAAGCAGAACACCAAGAGCACAGTCCTCAATGTAACTACTTAGCAGTTCCACTATTATTTATTCCCAGACGACCTCTCTTAATTCAACTTTGCATAAAATACCTCATGCCTAACTTAAAGTTATGATTAAGAGTATTTTTCTTTTAGCTCAGTTCAGCCCACTATTTCATTCACTACTGGTACCACCTCTTCACCATGTTAGCTGCTGTCTTGCTTCTGGCCATCAGAATAGTCTCAAAATTGCTGTTCCCTGTACCAGAAAATATTGCTATTGTAACAGAAGCTAAATTAAAACACTTGTGTCATGAACAAGGGCAAGAGTGTGAGAGCGTGGCAAAAGGCCAAGTAAAAAGGGAGATTTGTTACTTTTCCTTCCCAAGGGGTTTAAGAAAAATGTGCAAGATTAAAAAAATAACTGTTCCAGCCCTTTTCCCTGATGTATGACAACATGAAAGAGACTCTCCAAATCACTTCTCACAGGAGGCTGTGTAAAACCCCTAGTTTCTTGCATGACTAACATAAGAATACTAATGATGTCATTGTCACCCCTTTGGATCACAGCTGTCCTACAAATCATTACTTCTTACTGGCAGCCTCGAAGCACGAGTAAAACTCTGTTTAAAGTCTCACAGGGAAAAACGTAGGTGATGTGGTAACTGGTATCTTTGCTATCTCTTTAGAACAGATTAGCAGGGATGTGGACTACCGCCCTCCCTCTTTCACTCCCCTGAGGGATTCTTTGCACATGGGGTGTGTGAGAGAGGAGATTTGTCTTGCACCCTTTTAAAAAGTTGTTGACTTTTGAGCATATTCACTTTCTAAAGGAGGAGGAAAGAGAAACAGTGGGGTCATAAATTTATAGTTACATCTCCCAGAGACCCTCATCTTACTTTTGAGCATATTCACTTTCTAAAGGAGGAGGAAAGAGAAACAGTTCTTAGTTACATCTCCCAGATACCCTCATCTTATACACATGATGTTGATCAGAGAAGATCCGTGGGGCAGGGTCCTTGTTTGCCCCAGGGCATGCAGAAGCACTCAGGAGAAAGCGTTTCAGTGCTGTCAGTTGTCTCAAGAATGACACAAACAAGCTTCCCCTGCATCTCTACTGTCTGCAAAAATAACAAAATTAACAAAAGGGAAATAAAGAGAAGTTTCCCATGCCAACAAATCATTCCACAAACATCTGTTGTTCCTGATCAGTGAGATTCCATGGAAGGTAAGGAAAGATTGATACTCAGAGTGTATATGTTAAAAGACAACACAGCAACCAGAGACAACACAAAACTGTCAGGTGCTGCACCCAAAAGCTGGACAAATCCCAAAAGATAACCCCTTTGGGGTTATCTTACTGCCCTGACCCTTTCACAGCTCTCTAACACTGAAAACATGAAATGTAATGGGAAACAAAAAGGCAACAGGACCATCCCTGAAGTTCAAAAAATAAAAATAAAAATAAATAATAAAAAATCCCAAACAAACAGAAAAAGCCCCATGAAACTCCAGCCTATGCGTTAAGAGTGACAGATTAAAGACTTCATTGTTGACAGTAAAAGTGACATTTTAAGCATGGGAGAGGAAGCAACAAGACCTTCAAAAAATCAGCAGCAACTTTCAATTACAATGAAACAATACATAAAAATAGAAGCTTAAGACTGAGGACCCTTTAATGCCCTATGGAGCATTCGGGGACAACAGTAAACAAGGTGCTGATATACTTTACACTGCAAACAATGTCAGCAGAAAGCCAAATGGGACAAGCCCCAAATCAGAGTGAAATTTCAAGGCATGAAGTTAGAGATAAAGGGCTGTAATCAAATTACACCACAAATGGGTCCATTCATCTGCAAGCATTTAAACAGAGAGCATTGAATTACAGTTTGAAATAAAACAAATTAATTTGCTTTCTATTCTTAAATATCTATTCATTATTTTCCTACTGCCAAAGAAAATTTCCCACCTTAATACAAGAATGAATGTGGGGAGAAAACTGAAATACTAATTATCAGGCAGGAAAAACAAGAAGAGTTTGAATTGTGTTATTTACATTCCCATTTCTCTTTCTGAATAGCGTGAAGTCAACAAACTAAGTGAAGACAGAAGAATCTGCAATTGCAATTCAAGTTGTTTTGTGCAAAAGGCCTAGCACCTTACGTACATCCAACAAACTGGCCACAGTATTTTCTTTCCTCCCCCTAAATAAAAAAATAATTCTGACAGTGCTTTCAGTGCGTTCCACTATGCTTTTCTTTTTCCCGAAAGCTACCACAACCCAAGTGAGTTAACAGCACAATATTTAAGCGCAGGGCATGCATCGCCCCTCGTCCTCCCCCAGTTTGGCAGCGCTGGAGAAGCTCCTTTTAAACCAACCCGCGTGTGGAGGACCCGCTCTTTTTGTAAGCGCTGCAAGGAACAACAATCCGGGGGGTGAAAAAAAAAAAAAAACACCAAAAAATAGCAAACCCTAACAAAAACAGAGAGAGCGAGAGAGGAAAAAGCCCAGCAGCACTCCTCCTCCTCCTCGGGCTGCTGTTGTTGCCTTTGTTGTCCGGCGGGCGCCCCGAGCCTGCGGCCGGCCCGGCCGGGCCCCCACCTGCTCCCATTCATCGGCCGGGCAGGAGGAGCCCGGGGGCTGCCCCCGAGCTGCCCGGGGACACCCCGAGCTCCAGCGCTGACCCTCAGCACCATCTCCCCGTCCTGGGATGGGGGGTGTGCGCAGGGAACACGCAGGTGTCCTCCTCGCCCCCCAAAATCCCTGCCCTCTGGCGAGGAGGGCGAGCCCCCCAGCCAGCAGCCTGAAGGAGGGTGCCACCACCCTGCCCCTTGGCAGGAAGGACGGTGACCCCCACCCCAACGCTGTCCCCTTGCAAAGAGGGGTGTCCCCCATCCCAGGACCCTGCTTTATTTTTCCCCCCCAAGGAGGAGAGCACCCATCAACCCACCCCCTTCCCCAGGAGGTTGCCCTGCTCCCTCAAAGGCAGATGCCCCCCAGCCCAGCCCCTGGGAGAGGAGCAGGGTGCCCTGCCAGCACGCAGTCCCCTGGTAGCAAGGGGGATGCGCCCCCAACCCTGTCCCCTCGCAGGGGGGACACCCCCTCCCCCGCTGCCCCATCCCCAGCACCTACCTCGTCTTAGAGGACAGGAAAGCAAGTTTGATTAATCCATAGGTAAACAACTGGATGCTCTCCTTGGCTATGCTGGCCACTCTGAGCCTGTGCTCTAGGATGTGCAGTTCCATCTTTTCCTCTTTCTCATTTGTAGTTCATCTATCCCTGGGGTTTATGTTGTGTTTTTGAAGCGGCACGCCGGGACTTGGAGTCCGCGCCGCCACCGCCGGGGCCGCCCCGCCCCTCGCTGAGGGCGCCCGGCCGGCCCCACACCCCGCCCGCCCTCAGGGACGGTCATTTCAAACAATCGCAAAGCGTTAAAGCGAGCATCAGCGCCTGTAAGGGTGTTGTTTTGGTTTGTTTAATTTTCTTTTGTACTTATCGGCTTGCTGGAAAATCTTTCACAAGCCAAAAACTAGCAGGAAGGAGAACTTTGGAAGTTTCATTAACAGCAGGGGAAATACTCAAACCGTACCTTGTTCATTCCTTCATGTGGCAGATGGGAAATCCTTGTCTATTTCACTGTGCGGCAAAAATAATGTGGGAAAAAAAGTCTGCTTGGCATGTGAGTGTTACAGAGGCAAGATGACAGCTGTCAGGAACATAAAAGTGGCCCTGTGTGTGCTGTAATGCTGGAAGGGTGGGCGGCTGGAAAGGTGAACTGGACGGCTGGAAAGGTGAATTGAACGGCTGGAAGGGCGAATTGGGCGGCTGGAAGGGTGAACTGGGTGGCTGGAAGGTGAATTGGGTGGCTGGAAGGGTGAATTGGACGGCTGGAAGGGTGAACTGTTTGTCCCCGTTCTTGCCCGGGGGGGGGGGGGGGGGGGTTTTTTTGTCGGTGGCTTTTTTTTTTTTTTTTTTTTCTTTTTCCCCTCCCCGCTTCCGTCTGTCCCTTCCCAGCTCCGGGGGCAGGAGCAGGGGATGAGGGAGCAGAGGGTGCAAAAGTTGTAGCGGCGGGGAGGCCGGCGGGGCGCGGAGCGGAGCAGCGGAGCCCGGAGTGCCGAGCAGCTGGTGCTCGCTGGAACAAACAACTTGCCACTCGGTGAACTGGACGGCTGGAAAGGTGAATTGGGCGGCTGGAAAGGTGAACTGGACGGCTGGAAAGGTGAATTGAACGGCTGGAAGGGCGAATTGGGCGGCTGGAAGGGTGAACTGGGTGGCTGGAAGGTGAATTGGGTGGCTGGAAGGGTGAATTGGACGGCTGGAAGGGTGAACTGTTTGTCCCCGTTCTTGCCCCTCTCCTCAACACAAGGAGGCAGAGTGGAGGCAGCAAGGCATGGGCCTCCAAACCAGTCCCAGAAATGGGATTGCTCCGGGTGCCCCAGGTGTGAGCACCTCTGCACTGCACCACTGACCAACTGCTGTTAAATTCAGCCTCGGGGGATTAATAAAACAGGGCTTAGGAAATAAAACTGGTTCCGCTGCTGTACAAGGGTCCCTCTGACTTCAGATCACAGATTCTGCTGTGAACACACCACCAGCACCTGGTCACTATGGCCCTTTTCACCAAAAGATTTCAAATAAGCTTTTCAAAGACCATCAAGAGAAATCTTTCTGTTCTACACAGGGAAACTGAGTCATGGGATGTGGCCAAGGGCCCAAGATAAGAGCTCAGCCAGCCAAATCCCACTCCAAGTGACTCCTCCCCCTACAGAGCAAGAAGAGCTTCTTCAGCTGTAAGTTAGGTTTTTTAGGGTCTGTTGTGTTGCAGAAATCCCTTGTCTGGAGATAAGCTTCCAAAACCAGGATTTCCAAGCCCTTTCTGTTCTGTTAATTCCCATGGGATGGCTGCGTTTTTCCCCTGGACATGTCTGTTCTTCCTCTGTCTGTGGCAATACTCCTCAAAGGCTCTCTTAATTTTGCTATATCCAAAAAAGAAAAACTTGAAATTTGAGGCATTCGTATTGATAGCTTGTCAAAATCATTTAGAGTAAATGCAACCAACACAAAGTATCAAATCTCTACTTAGTTTTTAAAAAGCTAGTAGAAAGACTAGTTTTCCTTCATGGCCTCACAGTTCAGATGACTCTAGGCATTGCATTTTAGGAAGCTGAAGAGGATTTTTAATCTGTTTCCACTTCCAGTTGAAGGTCTTGGACTTCAAAGCTCTGAGTGTGTCTGTGGCCAGCTACAAAAAATGCCTGCAACTGCATCTACAAGTCACAGAGATACATACCTGTGTCCTCTGGGACAATGCAGACCACAGAGTGCAGAAGGAAGCAGCCAGTGACAAAATATATACACACCGTCTTGGTTGCTGGGATCTTCCAGAGGAAATCACACAAATGTAGCCTGAATCATTTCTAGGAAATGCTGAAAACTTTCCTGTTTTAAGAGATTTTTCCATCATAGTCAGGACACCATTCACAACTCTTCCCCTTCCCACATAGAGAAAAATATGTTGCCCCCCAGCAGAGCTTTCTCAGCCCAGTCCAGACACTCCAGGAAGGCCACCAGGGATTATGCTATTACAGACTAATTACCACAGAAAATGCTTACATAAAACAATGAGAAAGTTAAAACGGACCCAAAGGTAAAATCTGTGGGAACCTTTTGAACAAGCAACTCATCAGAGACTTTGTTCTCCCTGCAGGGAAGGAGAAAAGGAGGCCCTGAGTTAGTCATCTGTATTTACTAAAAAAAAAAAAAAAAAAAAAGCAGCAACAAGCAAAAAAATCCCACCCCCCGAGCCCACAAAACACAAAAATACTTCTTCATTTTGTGAATTTACATCTGGTGCTCTCCAAAACTGCAATGTCTTTTCTGGGTCTGTTCAGCTGCTACAGATTTCCAAGTCTTCCAAAGAAGCCCTAAAGGCCTTTGGCCTAGAAACTCCGACCTCATGGCTACTGTGAACCTTCACACAGTTGACTGTAGGAAGCATTAGGAAAATATAAAGCCCTACCAACACTCAGTAAAATTTTCTACACATGAAAAATATGTCTAGCTCAGCACAGGCAAATTTTTCAAGAGCAGGCAACCTGGCAATTAGCCAAAATACTAATAAGGGCCCCCTCCTCCAGCTGACATTAGTATTCAAATCTCTCTCTCCCTTGTTGCCAGGTACATCTGGGAGATTCTATGCAGGGAGCAGCCTAGAATGTGTTGTTAGTATACATAACATACTATAGTATTTTTTGATTACTGCAATTTCAAGTTTGCCATATTTTTGCAGCTTGGGAGGACTCAGTTGGCCCAGGCCAGGCACAGAGCAAGGACCTGTTGTGCAAGATGATATAACTGCCCATTTTTACTAAAACCAAAACTCATTCCCTGCCCACGCAGCTTGCAGTGTCAGGTACCACAGCACATGCTGGGCAGGCAGGGCTCAGGAATGGGGAGCTTGGACAAGAACAAAGGCAGAGGAGATAGCAGCAAAACAAATCTCACCAGGCTCTTTGAGTCATCTCCTGCCTGGATGGCGAGCATAAGTCATAAGCAGATGAGATTTCTAAGTGCTCTGGGTCAAATACCACCCACAACACTAAGCAGAATTTGGGGGTTGAAGCTTTGAGGCCAGAGGTGGCGGGGGGTGTTTCTCCAGTAAAAAACAGAGACTGTACTTGGACCAACAGGGACTGCTCAGATATCCTGGCTTCTGCTCATGATCACAAGGACCTTTTGACTGATGAGTAGTGCAAGAGCCATCTCCTGCTTGCCCTGGAGCACTGTTTATCTGGAAGTGAGGTCCTCAGGCGGAGTGGATTATTTTATGAAAAACTTGAGCTCGAGGAGATGGGCTGCATTTTTGCCTTGAGCATTTCTCTCAGTGGCAACCAAGGTACAGTTCACCAACAGTTCTCTGGGAGACTCTGCTCTCCTGAGTCTGAAGTTTGGCTGAGAGCAAAATTTCTCATAAACTACACAGAAGTTCACCACCCAAGTGTCTGCATGCAATTTGCATTGAAACCACACTGAAACACTCAACAGCAATCAGCTTTGGCAAATAGAAATTGAGAATATGTAGAAATAGTTTAGGTGAAAGGAATGTAATTATGCACTGTGACGAACAGTTCATGAAGGTCAGCACTGCACACAGAGGAAAAATAAAGGAGAATCATGTCATCATGTTTTATGCAGTTACTACAAACTACAGCAGATATTTCAGTATTATTCTATTTAGATGGTGGAAATTGTTCTTAAATAATTTGTAGTCTTTTCTGACATAATGAAAAAGCCCAAAATTACTTTATTTAGTTCTCAAAGATGAAATTATGGTAGCCTTTTCCAGATGGAATTTAACATGCATTAACATACATTAATTGTATGTTAATTAAAAGTATCTAAAATTTTTGGCAATTAAACCTAATTTTTAAAAATAAATATAATTTAGATTAAATTATCTTTCATGATTTCCATGACATTGCACTGCTGCAAATCTAACATTGTTGTTGGTAGAATTATGCTCTTCCTTCAAAAAGATCTGAAGTTCAACAGCATCTTGACCTCTGACTAGAGCTCGTAACAGCTGCTAAGACCTAAAATAGTAGATAATAAAAGCCTAATGTGAATGATGTAATGGCAATACCCTGGATAAACATGCCCAAGGCAAAATGAATCCAGTGTCACAGTTGTTTGTACTAGCATTTGCTTTTCTTCAGTAGACAGAGCATATTAAGATCTTAGCACATCTGTAGTTCTGGTGTGAAACCAGGGTCAGTGTGCATTTCTGGGCTCCCTTTCAGACCCAGTACAGGGATACAGCAATTTGTTCCAGCTCCTAAGCTGTACTTTTGAGTTCAGACTCTGTTTAAAGGTTTGAGAACTGGAGGTACCTTCAGGTCAGTTGCTGATTCTGACCAAAAGGGAAGCCACAACATTTCTTTAGCAGCGTCAACCAGTTTGCTTGAGATGGAAGTTACTAAGTAACTATAATTATCTGGGAACTCCTTGCTGAAGTTAAACCGGCCTTTTCGACCCAGGGACGGTAATGCTTCTTTAGGCAAACAGGTAAACAAAGGCACAGAAAGGCAGGCAATGATCCCAGGTCACACCATTAGTTGTTATCATATTGGGAGAACAATTCATAGGCCACTGCTTGATCACGAGACCACTACAGGGTTGGCTGAGGCAGACAGACAGGATGGGTTTACAAGCTGCTAACACTTCAGTTAGCAGCTTGTAAACTTCACTTTAATCTCTTAAAGCAAAAAATCCCAGTTCTTTAAGAACAATCATGTGTAA